TCTCTCTCACTTCTTATAAGGACGCCAGTTCTACTAGATTAGGGCCCCACCCCTTTAACATTAATTACCTCTTTAATCTTCAAATACAGTCACATTAGGATTAGAGTTTCAACACAGAATTTGGTAGGGACACAATTGACTCCATAACACTATGCTCCATAGTCTTAGTAGTCTGCTACTCTCAATGGAAACTTGTCCATATGCAGAAGAAAAGCCTCATGGGCAGTTCAGGCCCATGTCAGACGGAGTAGTTCTTTGCCCACAGGGGCTGCCTTTGTGCCTGAGGAGTCATAAAGCCAAAGGAAAGATCCTAGCATTGACAGAGTTCTCACTTCTCTACTGGCCTGTTACTAGATGCAACACCTGAAACTCAAGTACATAGAACTGAGTTAATCATAACTTCTCAGTTCATGGCATGCTGACATGATTGGTTGATGCTTTTTTAAAAAAAAATTTTTTCATGTCACCTATTGCTATTACCACTCCATTTCCCTCTACCTCCTCCCCCACCATAGTCACTATTTCTAATACATTTAACATAGTTTAGTCATGTGCATACTTATATAAGACATACCGTGTTTTGTGTAAGTTTTTAATTGGGAACCTGTAAAAACTGCCTTTGTCAACCAACAAAAGAATATAGTGCTGAGAAACTTTGTTCTCTCAAATCATAGATTGCCAGAAAACTTGCAGTTTAAAATCTTATCAGTAAGGCTGAAACATTCTGCTTTTGCCTGGAGGGTCTGACTTATTTTGACACAGAAAAGCAGCCAGGTGCACAACTTCAGATAAGGAATTTCTGGACACAGTATTCTGTTTATCTTAATGTAGCAGTTTCCAAGGAAACAGGACCCCTAGTCTGCTTCTTAGCCCGGGCCTGATGTTACATGCAATCTTGCTTTAATTTGAGCCTATCAATCAAAACACCACTTTATTTAAACTCTACCTAACCTCTACCCTTCCCCAGTATCCTATAATAACCTTGTCCTTTCCTGTGCTTGGTAAGACACCCATGATTCCTCTGGTGAACAGCCTCCTTTGTTATAGCAAGGTAATAAACTTGGCTTTATTGTACTGCAGTTTTATTCCAGAAAGTCTTTATGAGATGGATGGGCTTTATAAGAATATACATGCATGGTATTATTGAAGAACTCATTCTTTTTTCTTAAAAAACATCTATGCTGGTATTTTGAAAAGTTATATGTAAGTCTTTTTTTTTTTTTTTGAGTTGGAGTCTCACTCTGTCACCCAGACTGGAGTGCAGTGGCCGCTTCTGGCCACCGCCGCCTCGACCTGCTGGGCTCCAGCGATCCTTCTGCCTTAGCTTTCCAAGTAGCTGGAACTACAGGTGCGTGCTACCACGCCTGGCTAATTTTTTGATTTACTGTAGAGATGAGGTCTCGCCAAGTTGCCCAGGTGGGTCTCGAACTCGTAGGCTCAGGCAATTCACTCACCTCGGCCTCCCAAAGCGCGGGATTATAGGCTGAGCCACCGAGCTCCGGTTAGTTATATGTAAATCTAATTCATTACTGCTAGATAGAACTTCATCTTACAACACACCTACACTTCCACACACCATATTTTTTTTTTCCACTCTAGAGGTAGGTACCAGAATTGCCTCCAATTCCCTTGTACTACAAACACTGCTATATATCTTTATGCATTGCCTCTTATGGAGCTGCTTGATAATTTTCTGGAATATATATTTTGAAATGGTACTGCTAAGGTGTACTGACAGAATTTTTCTAAATATTGTCAGAATAGTAGATGCAATTTACATATTTTCCAGCACTTGGTACTATTATCTGCTTTCAAATGTTTTCCAATTTAATAGTATTCCTTTTTTGTCCTGATTTGTTTTTCTTTGAGCACAAGTAAAGTCATACATCTTTTCTCTGTTAAATACCTGTTTGTTTTTCTTTCATAAATTGCCTTCATATTCTCTCTTTAAAAAACTGGACTTTCTGTTTTTATACATATAAAGCATAAGTGCTAGTCTTTGCCCTGTTATAATTTATGTTTAAGTAGAAATTAGAGAACAAGAGAGTGCTATACTATGTGGTACTTCCTGAAAATGCAAAAGATAATTCTAGGTTAATGTTTTTAGAGGGGGTCAGAGATATAATGTGACTACATTTGGAAGCATAGGAAAGAGGTATGTGGTAAAGGAAAGACAACCTTCCGCACTGTGGCAGGCAGCGTGGACAAAAGCTGGAGGAAGAAGGGCAGGTGTTAGTTCCAGGAAAAGCAGGGAGACCCACTTAAGTGAAGGGTATTGTTGGGGCATAGTAGTGATAATTAAAGTTTCATAAATAAAATTTAATTTGTAGGAGGACTGTGATGGTACATTTTGTGTGTGAACTTGACAGGGCCACAGGGTACCTAGATAGCTGGTAAAACATTATTTCTGGGTATGTCTGTTAGGTGTCTGTGGATGAGAGTAGCATTTGAATTGGTAGATTGAGTAAAACAGACAGCCCTTCCCAAAGTAGTTGGGCATCATCCAGTTTGTTGAAAGCCTTAAGAGAAAAAAAAAAAGGTGGAGGAAAGGAGACTTTGCTTTCTCTGAGTGGTTGCTAGTGCTGGGATATAAATCTTCTGTGTCAGATAGGAACCTGCATCACCAGCCTTCCTGGTCCTCAGGTGTTTGGACTCAGACTGGAACTTCACTTCCAGCTCTCCTGGGTCTCCAGCTTGCAGACTGCACATCATGGGATTTTTCAGCCTTCACACTTATATGAACCAATTCCTTATAATCAATCTCTTTAATATCTTTTTATATATATATATATATAAACATATTTATTATAAGGAATTGGCATGTGCAATTGTGAAGGATGACAAGTCCCACAATCTGCCGACTACAAGCTGGAAACACTGGGAAGCCAGTTGTGCAATTTCAGTCTGACTCTGAAGGCTTGAGTACCAGTAGAACCAGTGGTGTACATTCCAGTCTGAATCCAAAGATGGCGGGAGGAGGGGGAAGAGAGAGAGAGAGGGAGAGAGATATCTCCTATTAGTTTTACTTTTATTTCTCAGGAGAACCCCAACACAGCCTCTAAGCAGGGAAGTAACATGAGTAACATGGGCAAAAGTGGTATTTTAGAAAGATCTGATTTTCCTTTGGCAGAAGGACTGAGAAGACAGGCCAGCGAAGACAGAACAGACTGTAGGTGAAAAGAGAATGTTTATTTGAATTGAACTGAAAATATATACTGGGTGTTAGCAATGGGATTGAAAAAGAAAGACTAATTAGAAAGACTAAAAAGGAAAAAACTTGGTCACCTAAGCAATGCAAGAGTTACTGATTGTTTTTATATTTTAGTCTGACGGATTGGAAATAAGATGATATTGACTGAAATAGGATAGTTTGGGAGGGGAAATAAATGCCAAGGAAAGAGCATAAATTGCAACAGCTTATATTTTAACTTCATTTGGATAAATTACTGGGTGTAAGGGGAGAGCATATTGCTCACAAATTCAGAGTTTTTTACCCCCTTTTATCAAACTCTTTTGAAGCCTTATTTCGTATTTTCTTTCTGAGGTTCTTAATTACTCTTTTTGCACACACTCTTTCTATATACAAACTCCCATTTATCAAATAAGTGCTATTTAAAAAATTGTTCATATTCCTTTATATCCCAAAAAACACTAACTGATCTTTTGTAAAACTTGTTATACTGTGTGATATGCAAACACTATGTTCAAAAATGGTGATTCTACCAAAGGATACATTTTGTTATAATGATTGATTTGTACATGGTTTGCTGAATGCATCTATGTTGTAGGCTTTTTGGCTAATATAATTTGTTAAAACCTTTTCAGCAAAGTGCTGTTGCAGTGACCATCTTCTGGGAATTGAAAATAGCCTTATTATACAGAACTTGATGTTATACACTAATGGCATTTATTAGAATGGAATTCTATATATATTATTACTTCCGACATCAGCCTGGCCTTTTTAGCTTCCTCACAGCATGCAACTTTGGTAATTATGCTAATGCTAGCTGATTCATGAGGACAACTTCCTAAAGTGCACTTAATTAACTTGGAGATTTTGTAAACAGCTGTATATGTAGGTCCCACAAATTGTGGGGATATGTCAATCTGATATGTGTACAGTCCGCCTTTCTAACCTCATCAGTTTTTTTTTTTTTTTTTTTTACTAAAGCTTAAAACGACAAGCTCCTATCTGGTACCTTTTGAAGCAAGTACTTGAGTCGGGGAGATTTTGAGAAGTGTCACTTTAAGACAATCTGATTCCTCCAGTTGACATCTGTTGAGTCAGATGAGTTACGTAGATTGTTGTCTTTTAAGCTCATATAAGAGGAAATATTAAGGTTTGCTTCTTTAGCAAAGGGTACAATTTTTCCAACCTGTTGCTGCAGTGTGATTTTGCCAGTCAGTTGCTGACTAACATTGCTCTTTGGGGGACTGAAAATCAGACTTCTCATTCATTCCCAGCTGCTGGGTTGACTTGATATTATAGTGACTCATTATCCTTATTTGAATGGAAATCATCTGACTTTTGACCTATTTTATTAAAATCTCCTGCCCTTCTACACATAAGAGGTAAGAGTAATAAACCTAGAACATTTAGTTAAGCTTAACAGTGCCATACAAGAAATTACACACGATAAAAAATTAAGAGAAAAGGTTAGTGAATAGCATCAGAGCCAAGACCAAGTTAATAAAAATGGAAGGAAGAAACATAATCAGGAAAGAACCAAAGGAAGACAAAAACTTAGTACATACAATTAGAAGAAATAGCAATTGCACAAAGTTAATGACAATGGAGAATAGGGATGGTTTTTAATAATCTTCTTATTACCACTGCATGAAATCACATTCTCAGATAAGTCCTAGAAACTAAGCTAGGGATTTGCCTGTGGTTTCTCAAGGGTCTCAGCAAGGTCGTTTCCCCTCATTAATTGAAGCTGCAATCCTAAGTACAATCTCTTTGGGAACTAGCTAGATTACATCTAAAGATAATCAAACATTTATTGCTTAGCCTTTTCTTTGACTTCAATAGTCAGAACCTCTTCTCCGGCCTCAGCAGAAGGAGCCATGCTGATGATTAGTGATTGACGGGTGGTTCCTCTGGGTAAAACTGCCCTTTTAATTGACAGTGGCTCTTCTTCCACTGTATTAGGACTTGCTCTACATTCAGATCTGTCCAGTGATTTCTCTGCTGACTCTTTTCCTTTATCTTCATTTTCTTTTCCTTTAGCCTCTCCTCCTTCAGAAGTTTCACTTTTTTTCTGGAAGAAGCAGTTGCAAAAAATTGGTATTGAAATCATAATTAAGGACATTGGAATCTTTTGATTAGCATGCAATGGTTAAGATCTCTACTGAGACAAAGGTCATCTGAATTAAGTGAATATGGGAATCATTTATTTATGTCTTGCTTCCAACTACCATTTGACTAAGTTTTTTGGTATGCTAGAGAATGGTGCTGCCACAATTGACTTACAGTGTTATTCTGAGTTGCATTTTCTGTCCCTACAAGGAGTTCTCTTCCCATTGGTCCTCATACTGTATGAATTTTTAGATGCAGTGCTCAGGACTCTGTTTTTCCTTTTTAAATATTTACTTATTTTATAGAGATAACATTGTAAATATTTATTTTTAATTAAAAAAACACTAAATACTATACCAAAATACTATGGAAAGTAGGGTTTTCTTCCTGGATAAGTTCATGGGAGAACCTCAGGTGGAAACTCATCTTTTTCCTAGTACAATCTTTTCCATTTGTCCTGCAGGTGCCTGACCTATCATTTTTGAACCTATTATGTTTAGTATTATCTATAGAAATTTCATAGTAAAAAATGCATAGTAAATAATATGTTCTTTACTAGTAATAATTGGGATCAATTTGAGAGAGGTTTTTCCAAGATATGAATGTGCACAGATAAAGTTGAGACTCTCACTTAACATAAATTTTTTTACTCTCATACATTTTTCATGCAAATTACTATTTCTATGCTGATGTAAATGAGACATCTGGTTTACACTGTACTCCTAATTTTTACCACAGTGTTGTGTGTGGAAAGGGAAGAGGTATGTTTCAGTTTCTTGAATGTGACTGACTTTTTAATATTTGTCTTACTCATTTTCTGAAAGGTTCACAGCTACCCATTTCTTACAGTTTTAGGGATAACATATTGACTCTATTTAGAAAACTCGAATCCCTATTCTATTTCTCAGTATCTTCCCTCATAGATATATTATGAAAATCAAAGAAATATGGAAACCAAAGAAAAGAAAAACAATAACATTTGAGTTTCTTTGCATTTCTAGGAATTGAGAGGCAGCTTAGTATATGCCCATAAGTATGAGCACATGAGTAAAGTTTTTTGCTCTGTAACTAATTGGAATTTTATCCAAATTCCTTGGCTGGGTATCAGTTTCTTCATCTATAAGATGAAGGGCTTGGATGAAATTTACACAATTATTTCTGGCTTTAAATGTTTGTGATCTATATTGATTAAATATTTGTGAAAATGTTGTTTACTGACTTATTGGGAAAAGATATACAATTGATTCTATACATATACAGTTAATTCTCATTACTCATAGTAGTTTTGTCCTATAAAGTTGCCAGAAACACTGAATTAGCAAATATTGAACCATTGTTCATAGGGGAAATACAGGGATAGGTTCCTATGAGCCTTGGGCCACATTTTTGTCAACTGGTCATTGCATACCTTTGTTTCACGTGTGTTTCTGTCTATTTAACAGATTATTTTCTTTGATAAATTAATTAACTTGATGAATTGTCAATTCACTACATTGAACTCCCACAACAGCACTATAACTAGTGCTGAAATGAAGCTTATCTGACACACATATTTTCTTTGTGAGACACATCACACTAAGCAGTACTTCAGGACTATACTTGGGGACTGTTTGAACAACAAAATCATTAAAAAAAAACACAAAAATGTGAAACACATGGCATGAGAAAGAGTCACTTATCTACAGTATGACAGCTGAAACAAGAAAGGAGTGTCTCCTTGTTCAACTTCAATTGGGAATGTATACATCAGGCAACTTAACCTTTTTGCTATCCTGTACATGTTCTTGTCCACAAATGACCACAAAAGCACCATGAGTATTGATTTGTGGGTTACAATTAAATATATTGACTAAATATGCAAATACAGAATCTATGACTTATGAAAGATGACTGAATTTATAAGTACATATATATTAAAGCTATCTATTAAAAAACCTATGAGAGTTAAATGAGATGACATATAGGAATTCAATTTAAGTAATAATAAGTGCTTTATCTGAAGCAGTAATTATTAACATTAAATTAGTCCAAATTATTCCAGTGTGGAAAATGGAATTAGAGTAGGAAATTGTGGAACGAGACAGTCCAAGGATCTCTCCATTATAACCCTCCATTCACTCTGCTTTGTTACCTGAACTGTTTGTTCTTTCTTCAGTTTGAGTAGTCTTGTAATACTTGCTTTTCCTGTGCCTCCCCAGAGAGATTTAAACAATTTGGGTGTATCTTCTTTTGGTGTGAAGAGGAAGGCAAGTTGTTTTCTTGGAGGAGTTTCCTCTGTGGTGTTAGCCTTCTGCTTTAAAAGCACTCTGAGGACAGGAGAGAAGAACTGTTTTAGATAGCTCTGTTATGTTCCAGAAAACTCTACCAGAAAACTGTAATTTCTCCTTGCTTGTGAATTTTCAGTAGATATTTGAAGTAACAGTCATTTATTAAGCACATCTCCTGAAGAAAGTTGATCACAGGCATAATATAGATCTCATCTTAGAGGTTACAAAATAAAACCAACTCCATGAGTTTTAAAGGTTGTACCTGGCTTTCTTCATGAGGATCTTTTTGGAGTCTGGATAATGCACTAGAATTTCTTGAAGGGTCTTTTTGTCCAGAGTTAAAAGATTGGCAAATCCATGGGCCACGACATTGGCAGTGCGACGGTTTCCTCCTCCTGCTGCTAGAAGACTATGATAGAGAAAAATGACTCTTTGCTGCCAGTTTTCAATTTCCTCAACTGAAATCTTTTTAAAAAAACAGCAAATATAACTATTTATACTGCCTTAGAGATGATTCCCAGTAGGTGAGGAGTCAGGTGTTTGTATGAAGAGAGTCAAGATATGGTGGCAGTGGAAATGGTAACCGTTTTCAACACGTTTTTGTCAAAATTGCCACATCAAATCAAGAACTTTTGACTTTCAGTGACCTATCAGATTCTTTATTCCAGATTCCAGAAATGCAGAATTCTTTTGGACTGGGTATCCTCCATTTGTCTTTCACATCCACTTTCACCCTTCCCCACCCATCCTTCTTTACCCCTCAGGAAGTTGACCTATGTAGGATTGCCCTCTGACTTCCATTTAGGTTCAGCCATTGGAAAATACCAATAGGAAACCCCAAAGCAGGAAGAATGCCATTAGCGCATTTATTTCCCCTGTTCTTTCCCTACTGGGCCTTAGGTTAGCAGTGGCTGCAGTCCTCTACTGAAATTTATAGCTCCTGATCCATGGGTGTCTTCTAGAAGTACAACTCCCACCGCTCTTTCTGGGTTCTGGTAACCACACCTCCTGTTGTCCCATGCAGGTCTTTCTGGGGTAACAGCTCCTTCACTGTTGCTAAGTTTGAGATGCAAAGTTTGAGATGCAAAGTTTGAGATGCATTGCTATTCCTAGTTGGGTACTCTTAGAATTTTCTTCACTTCTGTCAGTAATCTCTTCAATAAGTTTTCTCAGTTGCCTCATTTGAGTGTTTCTGTTTGCCTAGACACTGACTGATACAGTTCTTAACATCAAATGTGAGGGCCAGATTTTGATGATGCCTTTGTTATCCCAAGTGAATTCAATCTCTTCTACTATACTCTCAAATCATCTTGTTTTTTAACATCTTAAGCTGCTCTCTAGTATAGTCAATCATATACAACTCCCCACCTGAAATACCATCTGCAGAACATAGAAAAACATTATGTGTTTGAGAAACAACCAAGGAATCGAAAAAGAAAGATCACATTAATGAAAACACTGTCTCTAGAGGTGGAAAAGACAAAGAAAACACTTTGACTTTTGCGAGTGGTGAGATGTGAGTAGCTGCATGGGTCCCATGCCTGAACATTTATGTTAGTGTGAATGTCTCCTACTATTGTTGCAAACATTCCATTTAGTTGTTAATTGTGAAAAAAACTAATGTAGGGTTTCAGCCCTGACAGGTAAAGAGCTTGGAAGTCATTACTCCTGTCCTTCCAAGAAGAAAAAACTAAAGAAATGAAAAAATTAATGACTTTTCTTGGACCCATCAGAGAACTGAGGTCATAGAGTAAACTATCACCTCCAAATCTGGAAAGACAGGGGAATCCATAAAACCACAGCCAGATCTGCTTACGTAGAGCAGAATTCCCTGGAGCTATAACTGTCAAGAACTGGTAGGTGATTTTAACAAATTGTTGGAGGTTAAATATGAACTAGCATGAAATTAAGAACCTTTGGGGGCCACAATTATGAGGACACTCACACTTTACCCCCAGGAATTTCATCAGATTCTTATGGTGAAGAGCCAAGGAAGAGCCCCACCTAGCTCTGGCAGATATAGGGAAGATGAATCATTGTGAAATATACCCAGAGCATATTTGTTCTTGATACCACAGGTCTACTATTTATCTAGAAAAAAAAAATACTGCCTTCAGACCTTATCTTACATGAGGGAAGATTTTTTCCTCAGTGTAGCCCCTCAAGTCTTCCTGCTTATCTAAGGTAAATGGGAAGTTAAGACATTCTTGTGAAGATCACAGCATTGAGACGCATATACACAAAACTTCTTTTAGTTTTTGAGTCGGAATCTCAGTCTGTCACCCAGACTGGAGTGCAGTGGCACGCTCCAGTCATCACAGCCTCGACCTGCTGGGCTCTGGCCATCCTTCTGCCTGAACCTTCCAAGTAGCTGGAACCACAGACATGCGCCACCATGCTCAGTTAATTTTTCTTGATTTATTGTAGAGATGAGGTGTTACCAAGTTGCACAGGCTGTCCCCCAAAACTTAACCATAAAATTATAGATTATTTCTCCTCTTCCATACCTGACCCCCACATAAGCAGGTTCTTATAAAATAACAGTAATTATAGCTAAAAGTGCTGCAAGATACAAACCCTATTTGAGGAGCCCTCTCTTAGGCTACCCTAAGCCCAAATTCAATAGGGGAGCAAAAAACAGGGACCTCAGAGAAATTTGAAGCTCCTGGTATCTACAGCTATAGCAAATATTAAACACAGCCCAATTTGTAGCCAGAGTAGCATAAAACTTCACACTAAGGCCTACTTACCCCAGTTCGTAGTACCTGTTACACATTCTGGCTTTCAACAGATTACAAAGAATATTAAACAGTAAGAAAAGGTCTGGAGAGACAAGGCAAGTGTCAAAAATAGACTAAAATATGACACAGATGTTAGAGTTATTAGACAGGAATTTTTTAAACTATGACTAATGTGTTAAGAAATTTAATGGAAAAAGTAGGCCATGTAAGAAAAGATAGATAACATAAACAGAGATAATCAAAATTCTAAGAAAGAATCAAAAAGAAATGCTAGAAATCAAAGCACTGTAACAGAAATGAAGAATGCTTTTGATGAACCCATCAGTAGACTAGACATGGCCCAGGAAATGATCAGTGATTTTGAAGATAAGTCAACAGAAACTTTCCAGGTTGAAATGGAGAGGAATAAACAGAACTGGTCATAAAGAACTGTGGGATAATTTTGAAAGCTATAACATACACATAATTGGAATATCAGAAGAAGAAAGAGAGCACAGAAGAGAGACATACTTGAGGTAATTATGGTCTAGAACTTTCCAAAATTAATGTCAGACCCAAACCACAGATCCAAGCAAACTGAAGAACATCAAGAAGGATAAACACCAAAAAACTGACTCCCAGGTGTATCATATTCAAACTGTAGGAAACAAAAGACAAAATCTTGAAAGAAGGAATAAAGAGGGGGAAATATTTAAGTTATAGAGAAACTAGGATATAAACTGTAATAAATTTCTCATCATAAACCATGCAAGCAAGAGAGTGAAGTGAAACATTTAGTGTTGCAAACAAAAATTGTCAACCTAGAATTCTATATTCATTGAAACGATCCTTTAAAAGTAAAGGAGAAACAAAGACTTTCTTAGAAAAACAAGAACCGAGGGACTCAATTATCAGCAGATCTGCCCTGCAAATTCTTCAGGGAGAAGAAAAATGACATAGATTAGAAACTCAGAGCCGGGCTCGGTGGCTCAGCCTGTAATCCTGCGCTTTGGGAGGCTGAAGTGAGTGGATTGCCTGAGCCCGCGGGTTCAAGACCCACCTGGGCAACTTGGCGAGACCTCATCTCTACAATAAATCAAAAATTAGCTGGACGTGGTAACTCATGTCTGTAGTTCCAACTACTTGGAAGGTTGAGGCGGAAGGATCGCTGGAGCCCAGCAGGTCGAGGCTGCAGTGACCGGGAGTGGCCACTGCACTCCAGTCTGGGTGACAGAGTAAGACTCTAACTCAAAAAAAAAAAAAAAAAAAAAAGAAAGAAAGAAACTAGGTCTACACAATGAAAGGAAGGATGTTAAAAAAAAAAAAAGGAGAAAATGAAGGTAAAAGAAAATGTTTTATTTTTCTTATTCTTAGTTGATCTAAAAGATAACTGAATAAAGTAGAAATATATTGAGAATTATATTCCTTGGATAAGTAAAATAAATGACAGTAATGTCATAAGGACTGAGAAAGAAGAATTGGAAGTATCTTGTTATGAGGTACCTGTACTACATGTAAAGTGACTTCACATTTATACAAAGGTAGATTTGAACTAGTTTAAAACATATATTCACATTAGTTTAAAATGCATATTGAAAACTTTAAAACAACTATTACACTTAAAAAATAAGTATAATTATTATGCTAAGAGGGAAGAGAAAATTGAATCATATAATATGCACAATTAAAACCAGAGAAGGAAGGAAAAGAAGGGGCGGGGGAAAACTAATGTAAGGCCACCTTATGACATTAAACTTGGTCTTTGCTCTGCACCTAACATTAAAGACAGGGTTCAGAACTCGCCAACGTATACTTGGAATCCTCAAATATTGACTTGTTTTGCCCAGTGACTTCATATTTCATATTCTTTGCTCCATGGGAAAAAAACCAACAACAACTTTAATCCTTTCCTAAAGTTCTCCCAAGACAAGCTCCACCTTTGCCAGAGAAGACAAGATAAATTAATTTTACCCATCTGTCTCTGTATCTATATACCATTCTGTCTGTCTGTCCCTATCTCTTGCTCTATCTTTCTTTCTATCATCTGTCATTACAATCATCTCTTCATTCATCTACCTGACTTCCCATCTACCTTCTTCTACCTTCTTTCTCTATGAAATTGATGCTAATATTTGAAGAAAAATGATTGGGTAAGCCTATTTCCTTCACATTCTCATAGCCATCGGACACAGGGCAGTTCAGTATTTAGGCAGGGCTAGGTGGCATTGGGGAGGTTAATGTGAACCTGAGAATGTCTGTATATGTATGTCAGTCTATAAGAACAGAACGGAAATAACATATTTAAATGTCAGGTTATTTTGAGATTTCTCAAGTTTTAATTAAACTTGCCTACAGGTTACACGTTTGGAGTGCTTGATGAGTTTTTGAGCGGAAGAAATTGTCTGCCAGATGGATTTTGCCGAAACTCTCTCAGCAACGTTTAAAATAGCATCTTTTTTTTCCTCCTCTTGTCCACAAAATGCTTCTCTAGCATTCTACCAATGGAAAGTTTCACTCATTAAATAACTTAGTAAGAAAGTCTCTAAATATTCCCAACCCCACACAGAGTTTCTGAAAAAGCCAGTGCTGGAGGACAAATAGTTGAGGTTAATATTGAGTCCCCAGGTAAAAATAGATTGAACCGAATAAGGACCCAGAAAACAAAGGAATGGTTCTAATCCTAGAGCCA